ATTATTATTTTATTTTTTAAGAATATCTTTTGTTTATTATTCTATTTGACATTTTACTTTCTTGTGTTTTTTTACAATCTATAACTAATACTAAAATAGCAACCGGTGACATTATCTTATCCTAAAATTAGATACATATCACATTGTCATTACGAAAATTTCCTCTAAAACTATAAATGATGTCATCATTTTATGATTTTTTTTTATTAAAATTCCAGTCAGATATATTATTATTAATATCAATTTCCGAAAAAAATTATATTCTCTCTAACAATAATATATAATTTATGTTTTCTTCCTCCTCAAGTACTACCCCTTTCATTGCATCATTCAGTTTTTTTATGATCTCTAATTTTTCTTTTTTAAAATATTTGATGTATTTATTTGGATTTTTTTTCATTTTTAATTTTAATATGAAAAAATAAACAAATTTAGAAAACTTTATTTGTTATTAGTAATTAAACAAATATTGATTATTATTAGTAATTAAAAAGATTCATTTAGATTGCATATTAATATATTGCAATAGACTTTAGAATTACCATAAATAGTAATCTGTAATTAGGCGAAATTTTTTTTATTGTAAGAACGACATGTGTCAAGTTTTAAAGGACGGTAAGTATATTTTAAATTATTTATGTAAATATCAACTTGTGATATTTACGGGTCAAGAATTTTACATAAATATCAAGTTTAGAATAACTCATGCGATAGTATTGAAGTTGACACATGTGAACTTGATATTTTCAATACAAGTTCACATGTGTAAATATTTATGTAAATACAAGTTCACATTGTAAATATTTATTTATGTAAATGAAGCCTAGAATAACTCAAGCGTATATATCAAGGTTTAAGGAAAATAATGAAAATATTTTTTACGTATGATTAATAAAATTTATGATTTTTTTTTTTGGAAAAAAAAAAATTATATAAGATCAATTAATATTATTTTAATATATACATACTGATATTTTTCTAATATTATGCGTAATGTTTATAGGAAATAGAAGGTCTTGAAAAATTTAGTGAATAATTACTTTATTTATTTAGGATAGTGGAAAAGAGCAGAAATTTTTTTAATATCGAGGTGACACGTGGAGCTTCTGTCTGGGGTGCCCTCTATTTTAGTATAACTATAAATAGATAGATTCATTAAAATCGCCTTTCTGACTCATTCTTGCTATGAAATATTATCCTCGTCTTAGGAAGCTCTAAAAGCAACCTTGACTCGCTCTGCGCCTCCTTGGCGTAGTCTGGCCGCGGCAGCCTATTGCAGCGTTGGTCATAATGTTGGTCACAACAGAAATATTTGTTGCCGTGGCTTGTTAAGTTGTTATATCATTTGAAAAATACAAGTAAGCAAATACATTCAAATGAGCCAAAAAAAAGTGTGATTAACTGACTATACATAAGTGGGATTTCTTTTTCTTTCACTTTTTCTTTTTGTTGTCAAATTTACTGATTAAAACTCATTTAAACTAACACATTCTTTTTATAATTTGTACAAAAAAGAAAGCCTTAAAACTTCATTACTGTGTTAATCCTTCAGGTCATCATGTCCGAACAATTTGCACATTGCAGCTCATCACTTGTCAAGTTCTTTTAGCCTATTAACTTAAATTTATTGAAAATAAACTAAGAAGATGGGATTTCTCTCAGACAAATGCCTCGTTTTGTCCTCACGATTTAAAAGAATGGATTAATCAGACTCGTCATCTGTTGTAATCATCATCGAGAAATCACTATATTTAATTATTTCCACTAATTTTTAAATCAACAAATTTCTAGGATCCTCAGCTAAATATTGGTAAAAATATTTCATCAAATTAAAATTCAGCTCTGATGATTCGTATTTAGAACATCCTTGGACCCATAAACCCTCGGATGAATATCAGTAAATTAATAATAATAAGTTTGAAATCGATTTAATGAATTGAATAAGATCAGAAGAAGCTTTTCTAGGGCTTGCAATTATGCATCAAAAATTTCAGAGCCCAGTGCACATTCATCCTTTCAATTTCTAAATCAAATTTGATTAATAAAATAAAAAAATAAAAAATAAAAAATCTAAGAGAATCCTCAGAAAACATGCTTGAAAGTTTGTCATCATGGAAAGACAAATCTCAGGTCTCAAAGATTATTTACCATCACTGGACCCTCCAAAAATAAATCATTTAAAATAAAACCCTCAAGATTAATATTACTTTTATCAACAAAGAAAACGAATTAAAGGAGAGAGAATATGGCAAGGTATAATTCATTGGACCTCATTAAATTGAAGGCACAATGACTCAACTCCTGCTATGAAAATCTCTGCCCCTTCATTTTAATTTCTTCAAAAATTGAAGAAAACACTGGGGAAATTTCCCAAGTATCGATGAAAATTGGATACTAGGGTTCCTCCAGAAAGAGGCAAATTTGATTTGAAAATGAAGAGTAACAAAGATTAAACCCAGAAAAAAGAGAGCTGGAGAAGTTGACGATATGGTAGCTGTTTCTGAGTTGATGAATATATATTGAAGAAATTAGGGTTTTGCTAAAATAATACAAAGCCCATGTTATGTTAACCTAGTGTTTTATGAGGCCCATTTCATTTTTATGAGTCAAGGGATTCAAAACAAGCTGGATTGTGTTGTGTTGCCTCAGGTTGGGTCTTGCATTGGTTTGGTTTTTTTTTTTGGTTTTTGGTAGAAGGTTGGTTTGGTTTGAGTGTCTTAAAGGAGTGATCGATTTTAAAGTTGAGAAAGGTTAATTGACTCGATCCGGTGATTCAACTCGAACCTAATCTAAGCATAGCGGGTTAAGTTTGGGGATTTTTAATTTTTGTATGGGATAGGAAAACCATCTATAGTAAATCATCATTAGACATTTTATAACAATAATTAACCTCATGCGATAAAATTATAAAATATCAGGACAAATAATTTTCTTTAATTCGATACCTGAAAAAAATGGTATGAGCTATTTACCTCCTCTTGGGTTTCCAAACCCCATACCATGTGGGTTTGAAAGATTGGTTTAAAGTTGAAAATTTAAAAAGCACGATGTATGAGTTTTACCCATTCTAAAATCATACATCTTACTTGAACAAAGTGTCAATCGAAGTTCATGACTACGACTTTCATGCCCAATGTTAGAAATTGAACTATAGAGAAAAATGCAAGTCGGTAGTGTTTATTGTGGATAAGAAAACACCATTCCCTCTCATATCATCACTGATATATGACATTAGAATAATCAATCGAGGGGGTTTTTAGGAAAATAAGCTTGGTGAGATTCGACTCTGTCCTCATGTCTAGAAGTCGAATAACAAATTGCTCTAGCCTCCTATCTCACAGTAATCCTATTTAGTTGGTTGATAAAATATCACCTTCCTTTCAAATACTTTGTATTACAAGTAGATGATTAGGGATATTGATGATCAAATTAAAGTCATATGCTATTATGTTAACAACCATATCACCATTATTAAAAATGTTACAACCAATTAATTTAAAATAATAAACGAATTATGCATTATTAAAATCTCCAAACAATAAAGTAATTACTACTGCTCTGTATAGTATTTGCAAAAATGCAATGAGTTATAATAATAAGACTTATAGTTGATTTTATTATGATGAAAAAGTCACAATGCAAGTAGTTTTGGACAATCAAAACGTTTCTAATAACATGCTAGTGGTATCTTCATATTCAATTATTCATATTCCTCTCGTTTCTAACTTTTAAGCATTCCAAAACGTTTCTTGTTATGTTTCATTAAGTCAAAAACAAAGCCTCGTGGACAATTTCATGCTTCACAAAATCTAACCACAAATGACAGAAGAAGCAAAAATGGAAAGAAAGTGGGGAATCTATTTTTATAAGCATAATTCATTTGAAAATTCCAGCTCCACAACTTAATGGTGCCGTTGCACAAGCATAATTCATTTTATTTTTTTGTTTGAAGTATGAACCACAACAATCTTAGAAACAGCCAAAGTACACCTCCCAAAAACTAGTAAGACAAACAATTCAACACGTTTCATGGCTATGCCTAAACTCATATTCGTCCATAATTTGACTCGACTCATCACATGACATCACGCCATACGTTTTCTCATTAATAATTCTTAATGAAAAACCGTCTCCCAAGTAACGAAAACATTTGACTCAAATATATGCATACGATTAGTTGATAAATTTCAAATAAAATGCGGATGTTAATTTGAAAAATTTATGATAAAACTACATTATTATTATTATTAAATAGGTAATGTAGTTAATTTATGATAAAACCCCATTAAGAAAGAAGAGAAACGCAACAAATTTTATAAAACATACTTCCTTCGTTCTTTTTTACTTAACCGCTTTGACCTTACACTATTCACCACCCTTTTTTTTGACCATCTTTTGTGAATTATATGTAAGTGATAATATATTTACGTGGGATCTTGTTAGATTCGTTTCAATAAATACTATTAAAATATCCTCTATAATTTTTACTTATGGGGAGTTAAATTTATTGATCGTTAAAGTTTTACATTAGCAAGCGTGATAAATGAAATAGGTCAAGTAAAAAAGAATGGAGGAAGTAAGAGTTACTCTTACGATTGGGTTTGTAAGTTGACTGAACTTTGCTTTTTGTCTGAGTTAATTTCATAAATTTTTATTGTTGCTATATAGAATAGGAGAAAAATAAACAAGGACCAGCACCCTATTTTTTTTTGTTTTTTTTTTGGTGTTCCATCCGATTCACCCTTTGGGTTAATCTTGATTTATGGCTCAATTTTAGGTGATTAGGTTCCAATACCCTTCCAATTGTTATTGCGAGGGATTGAACACACGATCCTCCCTACTTTGATATAAGAGATACTCTATAGTACTTCTTTAAATCCTTTTAAGTTTTTTTTCCCTATTTTCTTTTTATAGGTTTGTTCATAAGACAAATTAAAAGAATAGAGAAATATTTTAAGGACAAATGAAGTACAATTAATAGTCTTAAATAAAGAGGTTTATTTAAGTCTTAAATCAAGGAGAGAGACTAAAAACCTCTATAAATACCCCTAAACTCCCATACACTTCTCTCAATTTCCCTCTGGCAAAAAAACGAACTTTTGAAAAACCCTCCCTATTTTATAACACAAATACAATAATGTGTCCTACCGGAACTTCCCTAACTCCGGCGAGTTTTGCCGACGAACCCACGTCAGGATTCCGGCGAGCTTTCGACGTCCTAGACTTCGACCACGACGGTAAAATCTCCGGCGAAGATCTCCGATCATTCTACACCTCATTCTCCGGCAGCGGCGACGATGAAGAAATGATTAAAGCAATGATTTCAGTAGCCGACGCGAATAAAGATGGGTACGTACAATACGACGAGTTTGAGAAGATTTTGGAGAGGAGAGAGAAAGAGAAGAAGGTGGAGAAAAGCTACGGTGACGGCGGCGGGGTGATGGAAGAGATGTTCAAAGTAATGGATAAAGATGGTGATGGAATATTAGGGGTTAATGATTTGAAGGATTATTTGAAATTGGCTGGATTAGAGGTTGGTGATGACGAGATTAAGGCTATGATTAAATTGGGTTGTGGTGATGGTACAAATGGTGTTTCTTTTGATGGCTTTGTCAACATTTTTGGATCTTTATGAAATTAATTAGTAAGTTGTTTCTATTTTTTTTTTTTTTGAGTAGGTATGTGAAATTTTTGTAAGCAATTTCACAGAAAATGGGATTGAATTTTGGGTTTGAGAAATAATGTGAGGAATAATTGTTTGTTTATATTATATGATTATGATATGGTAATTGTTGATGAATGAATATAAGCTATGTTTTCATGTTTGTTGGAGTACAATTTTCTTTTAGTCTTTGCTTATCTCTAAATAAATAAAAATGTTAAAATTGATTGTGTAAGGTAATTAGTGAAAAATGAAGAATTCTCAAAGTTTAGTGAGTCAAAGTAGGGTGATTGGCCAATTAGTGGATGAATTACTATGTACTCCGTATATTGTAATTGGTGGTTGAATTATTTAGTAACCACACTTTCCAAGGTAGATATAGTTCAATATTAGTCCCACACTCCCACGGGCAACTAGCATTCATTAGTTGTAACTTGTAAAGTCATCAATTAATCAAAAGAAAAGTGTCAAAGCCAAACTAAAACTACCTTGCTAGCAATGCAACTCTTTTAGTACCATATCTATGCAATCAATTGAGATAGATAGACGGCAAACATGACTTCATGAGAAATAGGAGAATTGTAATGTTCTAACACAAGATTATCACTCAATCACTCATACATTCTATTTCAACAAAATTGTGTGATGAAAATAGTCACAAGGTTAGTTCATAATGCATGATAGGAATTTTTTTGAGTGAAATAATGGTAATTAGCAAATTGGATGTTGATTTTTTTTTTCTTTTTCCCGCAACTACACTTCCAAGAAGGAAAAAATTGTGTTGTATGAGGAAAGTCCCACGGGCATTTAGCTTTCATTAGTCATAAAGTCACTAATCAACAAACACAAATCAAAATTAGAAAACCACACTTTTCCACGTGTAACGACAATCAATGAGCTTACTAATGAGCAATGCAACTCCTTTACCATTTACAGTAAAACAATTAAGACACAATATCAAAAGAGTGACAAACATACGGATCGAAACAGGTGAATTGTACCATCTAACCAAGGTGACTGTTGCAAACAAAAAAAGCACTCCAACAATATTTTTTACAGAATCGTGTTTATGAAATATAGTTTTGCTTTGGTAATAATTTGTTTTAGAATCCTTAATTTTTTTAATAAATCAAAGTATAAAATGTGACAAACCTAGTTTACAAAAGATTTTTTGCCCCTTTGTTCAATTATCTTCAGGTGTGACGTGAAGAGGTCAAATCTTCTTTGAAAGGGATCCTTTCTATGACTGAAACCTCGAACATGGGGCTGCATCTGGGCGCACCAATCGATATCCAAGGAAAAAAGAAGTTTTCCTTTCAATATTTAGTGGACAAGGTTACGGAGAAAATTGTCTCTTGGGCTTCTCTGCGTCTCTCCCAAGCGGCAAAGCTGATTCTCATCAACACTGTTCTGGTTAGTATTTCGGCCCATGTCATGAAATGTTTGAAGCTCCCTCAAATCATTGCAAACAAAATCGACTCGCTTATCACCAAATTTTGGTGGGCTAATAATGGAAATAAAGGCATGCACTGGGTCAGCAGGGCGGTAATTCAACTGCCTAAGAGCATGGGAGGGCTGGGCATTCGAGCTACAACAAAGCTTAATGATGCTTTACTTTTCAAACAAGCATCAAGGATGCACTTTAATCCTCAGCTCCTTATTTCAAAGATTTACACCAATTTTCAACCATGTGGCAGTTGTAACATTTCAAGTCCCTATAGGAGAATCGGGATGCCTTCGATGGGAAGAATAGGGATACAATAAGTGGTTGCCTCTTTCAAAGATGGCTTTGCTTGGAAGGTAGGCAACGATGAGAGCATAAGGGCAATTAGCATGCCTTGGGTTCGAGGGGAAACCCCGATAATGCATTCTAACCAAACTCTTGGTTCTTCTATGCAGTGGATGGTGAGCAACTATATTGACAGGAATCTCGCTTCTTGGGACCCGAGTAAGGTAAGGCAGTCTTTTGATTGGAATAGTGCCAAAAACACCCTTTCTATGGAACTCCCCTCTGAACCTAGAAGTGATTATTTATACTGGAAGCACCACCCATCTGGAAGATACACTGTTAAGACAGGGTACTACTACCTCTTTAAAGAGCACAAGTTAGATAATTTTTCGTTATCCACAATAGATGAAGCCTTTGTGAAGCTCATTTGGAGATTGGATATCCAACCAAAGTGGAAGATCTTTTTGTGGAAACTTTTTCACAAGGGCATTGCAGTTAAGTTTAACTTGGTAAACAGAGGGATCAGGATTACCAATATTGCAGTATGTGACTTATGTGGTATAGAGTTGGAAGATTGCCAACATCTATTCCGTTTTTGTACTCTAGCAAAAGCTGTTTGGGAGAATGACCCCATGACCAATTGCTATGACACTACTGGGCTTATTTCATTTTGAAATTGGGTCCAACACTTTATCCTGCTCTTTTATAGCGAGGATGGTAGACAAAGTACTCGTCTCATCAGTTTTGTTGCGTAGCTGTGGGGTCTTTGGAAAACCAGAAATGCGAGGACTTTTAGAGGAGAAGATGTAACTATGGATACGGTCACGTAATTAGTTGACCTCGCAACAAAGGATCACAAGGTGTTCATTCAAAGGAGAGGGGAATCGAACCCCCCTATGACAGACCAAAGGGCAGAGCCGACATTACCACCTGGTTTCACCCATGTGCAGTTAGGTGTACACAAAGATGGTTTTGCTAACTTTATTTTGCAGGTGGATGGGTCTTGGGATAAGGCAACGACAAGAGCTGACATAAGATGGGCAGTGACTGGGCCTGATCAGTCATACACGTTCGTTGATTGAGGTAAATATGGAGCGGCTTCCTCGGCCTTACAATGTGAAGCTTGGGCATGCCTTGAAGCCCTACTTTGGGCTGGAGCTCAAGGCAAGGATGAGGTGCTCATCCTCTCGAATTCGGTTCTACTACTGGAAAACCTAAAAGGTTTTAAAGGGAGTGATATCTCCATATTCTGGACGATTGAGGAAATCAGAAGGGTGGCAATGGGATTTAGAAAATGCGCGATTATTAAAGTTAATAGGGATCAGGTGCAGAGGGCTAATGACATTGCGAAGAAGTGCCGTAGCACTCTATCAAATTTAGACCTTCCTTTGTGGTTTCCGTTTTTCCTTTGCTATTGTCAAAAAAAAAAAAAAAAAAAAAAAAAAAAAAAAAAAAGACAAACCTAGTTAACAAGGGCTTTATTGAAATCCAATTTGTTTTTATATAAGAGCTCATGGAAGGACCATATTTGGTTTATAAATTGTTAGTTACTAGTAAGAATCCCGAAGTCCCAAAAAGAAATTTTTTTTTTTAAAAAGAATCCTCCGTTCAATTCTACTGAAACTGTCCCTTTTGACCATTGGTACTCCTTCGTTTTTATTTGCAACCATTTTGTTTTTCAGGTTTGCCAATGCATAACTTCAACCATTAATATCTTTGATATTTCTTTTTAATACCAAATTATAATAAAATTTTAATAGACATTAAGATGAATTTAATAAAATCTCATATGATTATGTTTTTCTTTTAAGTATAAGTCAAGAAATATAATTAAAGTTAATTATACAAATACATTAGTGTAAACTTTTGACATGTTACAAGCAAAAAAAAAAAAAACTAAAAAAAAAAAAAAAAAAAAAAAAAGGAAAAATTGATTCTAATAATCCCACCTTTAGTCGATTCGCTGTTAATAATCCTACTTTTATAGGGGATCTTTTTTTTATTGGTCCCTTATGACTGGTAACCTGTACATTGGGTAAACTCTTTCTTTTTTAATTTGAGTGACACATGTCACTAAAAAATTGGTCAAAAAATTAAAAAAAAAACTATATATTTTATTTATGGTAACTTTATTTTTTTTTAAAAAAAAAACCCAGCCCCCCTCCCCTTGCCCCGCTGACGACCAGGCCACACTCCCCCGACGGCGAGATCCATCCTGACACCCTCAGCCCCACCACCAAAATCGCCCCCAAAACCACCAAAAAAACCCAACGAAATTACCCAAATTAATCCGATTCGAACCCAGATCAAACACGGGCAGCGGGAATAGCATGAGCTCCAGCAAACGAGGGGACGATCAGAGGGTTTGAAGAGATTTTCGACTGTCTTCGGCGATATTTGGGGGGTTTTCGGCGATTTCAAGGTGGTAGTTGTAGTGGTTATGGTGGTTTCGGGGGTGGGATTTGGTTTAGGTGGTGATTTCAAGGGTGACTTTAGGTCGGCGGGGTGGTTTTTGGTATTGGGGGGTTCCGTGGTTGGTCGTTTTCGGGGGTTTAGGGTGGCTGCCGTCGGGTTTTGGTGGGGCTAGGGTATGGAAGAGGGTTTCACGGTAGGTGGGAGATGGCTGGTAGGTAGTGGGTTTTTTTCTTTTTTTTTTGTTTAGTTTTTAATTTTCTTTTTTAAGCAATTACAAAATGACACGTGGCATCTTAACCTATCACAACTGGTTACCAACAAGTTAGCGACCAGTAGAAGAAGATTCTCTATAAAGGTGGGATTAATAGAACCAATTTTTAAAAAAAAAATCAAAAGATATACACAATGTTTTTTTTTTTTTTTTTTTTTTTGAGAAACTACATTATTACGCCTCTAGTCAAAAGATCAACTTAAATAAATTGGAGGTTTCTTTTAGCAAAAACATCTCAACTAATAAAAGAATGTCAATTTGCTACAATTTGGGGGTGAGAGAAGTCTACAGTCACGAAAAGTATCTGGGGTTACCTACTGCAGTTGGGAGATAAAAAAAAGAGATATTTATGGGTATAAAGAATAGGATATGGAAGAAGCTGCAGGGTTGGAAGGAGAAATTATTATCACGAGCCGGGAAAGAGGTACTCTTGAAGGCGGTAGCTCAAGCCATTCCTACATATGTTATGGGAGTTTTCAAGCTCCCTGACGGGTTGATTGACGAAATCCATTCTATAATGGCTCGGTTTTGGTGGGGCAATGGTGGAGAAAGAAAAATTCACTGGAAATCATGGGAAAGCCTCTGCAAGCCGAAAGCCCAAGGAGGGATGGGCTTTAGAAATCTGAAAATTTTCAATCAAGCCCTTCTTGCTAAACAAGGCTGGAGGCTTATTCATGGTGGAGATACTTTACTCTTCAGAGCTCTTAAGGCTAAGTACTTCAAGCATTCGACTTTTTTGGATGCTAGAAGAGGGTTTGATCCCAGCTATACATGGCGGAGTATTTGGGGGGCCAAGTCTTTGTTGCTCGATGGACTGCAATGGCGGGTGGGTAATGGCACAAATATAAAGGTGTGGAGGGACAAATTGCTGGATGCGGACACAGGGGGTTATATCCCATCTCCCCCTCCGAACAGATTACATGACCCTGACCTCAAAGTGTCACAATTAATTGATATGCACAACTGGGAATGGGACAAAAATGAGTTAGCTCTTCACCTTTGCCCTGAGGATGTGGAAAGAGTTCTTGCAATCCCTCTGCTCACACCCTCCAATCATGATACTGTTTATTGGTATAGGTCGCAACATGGCTCTTTCACTGTCAAATCAGCGTACTGGTTTGGTCTCTTGGGACAACAACCGACTGACTCTAATGTGGATATTAAGCTCTGGAGGAAGGTCTGGGGGGTTGATGGGCCTCCGAAATTGAGATACCTTCTGTGGAGAGCATGCACTGGCACTCTGGCTGTCAATAAGGAACTGCAGTGTAGACACTTGCGAGAATCAGGTGAATGCTCTGTATGCAATATGGCAGATGAATCACTGGTTCACTCTCTGCTAGAGTGCAACAATGCCAAGGAAATCTGGAACCCAAGTGAAGTGTGGGGGCTGATTCAGCAAATCCAAGGGGATACTTTTGATAATATATTTCTCAAATGGTGTGAAAAGGTGAATAAAAATCAACTTATTGAAGCATGCTCCCTAGTCTGGGCAGTATGGATGAGAAGAAACAAAAAAATCTTCGAAGGGGATGATCAGGACCCCACGACCTTGGCATCAAAGCTCCTCAAGTATGTGACTGATTACAACCTATATGCGACAAAAGTTTATACAGGGGCGAAGAATATAATTTTTCCATCTGCTGATAAATGGAAACGGCCACCAGAAAATGTGATTAAGCTGAACTCTGATGCAACAAAATTTCAGAATGGTGATGTGGGGTTGGGTGTGATTGCTAGAAAGGCTGATGGTGAGATTGCCTTCGTTGCTGCTAAGAGAATTGCTGTGCGTTGGGAGATTGCTATAGCGGAGGCTGCGGCGGTACTAATGGGTATGGAGATTGCAGGGCAGCTAGGTATCCATGATATCTGGGCTGAATGTGATGCTCTCGGTGTAGTCTCAAGGATCAAAGGCATGAATAAGGGCCATGATTACCTTTCCCTTGTTATTGATAAAATTGTCACTTTGTCTTCTACCTTTTCATCCTTTGTTTGTAGTCATGTTAAAAGGGGAGGAAATACGTGTGCTCACTTCCTTTCCCGTTATTGCGCTGTGGATGTATCTGAAATCTTGTATTTTGACTCCTTCCCGGAAGGTATTACAAACCTTGCGGAGTTGGATAATATTTAATGATACTTCCCCTTTTCTTTCAAAAAAATAAAATAAAATTGAAGATAGATATTTTTTAGGGTAAAAACTTTGTCTACCCACCGAGCATACTATCCAACACTAATAAAAAGTAATGATAATGAAATCCAACTCAACAAGATTAATGATGTTTGGTCTAGGCCATATTGCTGCCCCGAGGAAAGAAGCAGGTACGCTGGTTGGTGGGTTCTGAACACTGATGGGGCTGCTATAGGGGTTCCTGGTGTAGCTATTGGTGGAGGGATTATCAGAGATGAAGAGGGCAGATTTGTAGCTGGTTTTGCAGCTAATCATGGCATCTGTAACGCTTACAGAGCTGAGCTTCTAGCACTTGAACAAGGGTTGAAGTTAGCTAAACAAAAAGGCATAACAAAGCTAGTCGTTCAAATGGATAATAAAGCGTGTGTTTAAGCCATCATCAAGCCAAGTCAGCAGCGTAGCGAATTTGTGCACATCATTAATTTTTATCGTAATCTTTGTAATTCGTTTGGTTCATTTTCTTAATATGTTTCACTGTTTTATGGAGGGTAATAGGGTAGCGGATAAACTCGCTAATATGGGGGTTATCCTTGAAGAGAGGGTGGTTTATTTCGATGTTCAATCGAAATAAAAAACCTTCTTTGGGAGGATATGATAGGGGTGACTTTGCCATGTTCGGTGGTATAATTATTTTTTAATTTCAGGTTTAATTCTCCTTTGCACTAAAACCAAAAAAAAAAAAAAAAAAAAAAATTAATACATCGTACTTGAAGTTTCTTTTCCAACCATTATGGCAAATGATGAATGTAATAGGTGGAAAAAGATTTATGTGATTCTGAAATTCATTTGGTCGGCCAAACAATTGTTTATTCTCTCTGAAAAAATTGTAACCACATTTAATTGCGAGAATTGCATACTCGGGAGTCCCTGGCTGCTCAAGCCACGTGCACTTTATATTTTCCTTTTAGGTCCGTGATCCAATATCGATTTTTCTAGACGGGGATCTTGTGAAATTTGACAAGAGTTCACCCAACAAGCTTTGTATCTATTGAGCCCATCACCCTCTATAATTTAATTCTTACATACTTTTTCCATTCTTAAATAATTGTTCATTACATAATCTGTGCAAATTACTACAATAATTGCGCAAACAATTATAGTATAGTCATATCTTGACCTGTAGACATACACTCCATAGGCCATATGATTCATTTTGTATTTTATTAACCCAAATATTAGCATGCCAATCTTTAACAATAATGTTATTTGGTCCTCAATTAGATAAAAAGATTTAGAACTACGCTGCAACCACTAACCCCCTCTTACAACAAACAAATACTACAGTTAAGTATTGAGTACTTTCACACTTTCAATAATACATTTAAGATAGCATTACATAACATTTGCCACAGGAGCTTTAACCTATTCTGGATAACCAGCCCCAAACATGCTCATGAAAATGAACGTATCCCAGACCCAAAGTACTTATCCCCAATTGAAGAAGGTACTCTTCTCCCAGATTTCAGACCATAATGTAGGAAATCCAAGCTAGCGAAGTGCTCTACTTGCACAATCTGTCATCAGCAGTGTGAAATGATCGAGGATGCTCAGACAAGCTACATTTTCATATTCTCTATAAATAAAGCTTGCTGTAGTATGGCATTCAGTTTTACTGAGGGCCCAGGAGAAGAGGTCGAAGTCGTAAATATTCAGAAATGATAAAGAGATCCCTCAAACAAGATCAATCTGCCCATTCTCCACAAAGGGCTTAATTGACTTGTAACGAAGTACGTATAAATCACCAGCAACAAGGTCCACAATCTCATCCGCACTGTAAGAGCATCAAAATTCAGACTTGTCATGCACTGATAGACGTTAAGATTTGGAATTTTGATATTACATCTGTTAGCAAAACAAGATCCTTACCTGTCATCAAGTGGAATGGCTCCAATAGAACTATCACTCTTGCAAAACACAAACGTATCCAAATTTGGCTCTGGAACTGGTGAAAGAAGGTAATAAACATATTTCAGCATGTGTATAGCAGTAAAAAGTTGTTAAAAACATTGATATAGCGGTTTGGAATCTAAAACAATATAAAAGCAGTCATCCTGCTCCAAGATTTGTCATTCTTGTTTGATGCCTCAATCGCCATAGCTTGTATCTAATTTTCCGAACTTATAAAATAAACAAGAATATAAAGAACTTCTTCACCTTCCCACGTCTTGCTACTAGCTTTCCTCAAAAAAATGAGGAAAAAAAAACCATCTTCAACTTTACCTGATCTAAGAGGATGCAAGTGATCCAAGGGCCCAAAGGGAATAAGAGAACTGTAGACAGCGGAGAAGGCGGTGCTCCATGAACATGTGTCACAATTGTGATCAGAAGCATGAATTCTCTTCTGTCATGATAATGAACATCAGTTTTAAAGCAACAGAGTTCAGAAATATTCTCTGACTGCCAATGTACTTCATATTTGAAGATCCCTGTGGAACCCATCTTTACACTTCAAGCAAAGCAAAACTTGCCCCGATTAACTGACATAGAACTCACAGGATACCCTTTATCTTCTCAGATTCAGCAGATCTACTTATTCAGTAGACTTCTCGGTATTTTTGTGAATTTCATCTATATGCCCGGCATATCTTCTTCTCCAGAATTCTTGCTTTGCAAGTAACAGATCCTATTGAGTTTTGACATCCATTAGCCATTCTATTTTTCATGTTTGCAAGACAACTGGAAGCCAAAGTATGGAATTCGTTCTACACTTCTACCCCATAATTCAAATTTTAAAATTCCAATATCCAGCAAGCAAAACAATCAATTCATCACCACTACAGCTCTAAAAAATATTAAGTAATATGCTCACACCAAACTAAAAACAGTTTGTTGAAACTCCTCCTGCTCTCTAAAACAGAGTCAAAGTGTTACCACGCATATCCTTGATATCTGCACAACTGTCAGACAACCCCCTTCTCTTGCAAATCAAGCAAGTTTACTACTCTAGTGCCCCTTAAATTTTTCAAAATTCAGATACAATTGAATTCAAAGTTTAATATGAAGGTACAATATAGCTCATGTCAGTAGAACCAAAAGACTAGATAGGTGACAATAGATAAATTGCCCCTTCGTCCTTTCTATCAATAGTCACTCCAGCGAAGTATATTGGCTATAACCTATACCCCTATAGCAAGGACGATGGTGATGTAGGCTAGTTTTCAGAACAGATAAGTTCCGTTTAGGAGTGAATTAATACACTATTAAGTTTATCACATTTTTTTTTTTCCTTTTTCATTCACATGTGTCTTTACATCAGCCACTCAGTACACATCTTGCTGACGTAAGATTGTGCCAGAGTAGCCCAAACTTGTCATTGTGGACCTATAAAATTTGGCTGTAGAATTACCTTCTTCCAAGGGATTACAGTAATATTTTGGAGGATGGCAAATAATCTGAAACGAAAAATTTATAGTTGGAATATGATATATTGGACCCAGGTGGTTAAAAATGGTATCTTGTACATGGATAGTACAAGTGGATCCAGTATATTGATAGTGCAATAAAGGAATCAAAAGACTTGAAAAGGATTTGGCAATGAAGAAGCTTGGGCATAAGAGCAGACGGACACCCAAGAATTAATATCCAAGCATGTTTGGGTGGGGTGGGGGGGGGGGGGTTCTCATTTGCACGGAAGGTGACAAGACCATTATTTCATCATACAGCCAACCTGTGGACAATCTGGTTTGGAATAAGGATATTTCCAATGGAGCTACGGTTAATCTGTCTTTGTTCATTGAGGAGGTGGGAAAGTAAATCAATCAATTCATGGATTCAATTTTTTAGCAGCGGGACCAAGACGATGGATGTTTGAATAAGGAGTCAGAAAATGGAGGCGAGACCAATGATAGTTGATAGCTAAAGCATGAAAAAAATCCTGTAAGAAGAAGGAAACCCTAAACAAGCAGTAACTTAGATTCAATTTTATCCACTGAATTCAGGGTAGAGAAAGCAGAGCATTTTCTGGTGGTTACAAGTTTATCTCTTCAGATTGAAGCCAAGGCTTTGTTAGAAGGTGTGCAACGAATATTAGTGGGGGATGGATGGGATTTAAAATTTACAGACAGCCTGTTCTAGGTTCAAGTTCTAGAAGGTGTGCAACAAGCTCCAATGGTGGCAAAGAACTTTATAGATGCTTTCAGAAAGCAGCAGGTTAGATGCAAAGGATCACTGTTTAGAAGGTCTAAAGAAAAAGTGAAGAGGCTGGGCTCCTTAGTTTTTAATTAATTAAATTATTTATATATATTACAGGATTACAGTGTTTAAAAAAAATATATATATTACAGGACTACTGTTTGACAGCTGCCGAAATAAGAGAAGTAGCAATTTTCCAAAGAAAAGTATATTTTTCCCCTCTTCCTTTCTTTTTTCTTTTCTTAGCCCAAGCAGAGGGAAGGGGGTGGCTTTTGCATGCATAGCTTCTCTCTTTTGGTTGCCAATACACAAGTACCCTTTATGCTAAGGACACTCAAAATCAAATCCATTGCTCCTCAAACTTGGCATCTAGCACCACAAATCTGGAGTCCTTGGTGTTCACTTTTCTTTGTACGGTATATCTAATTTTAATTTAATAAATAAAGTTCTTTGTATCATATATATCTCACCAGTCTTTGGTTGAAGATGATGGTTGGAAATCTCAGATTAGGGAGTAGCAAAAATTCCCCAGTTCTACTTCTGCACTTAACCTTACATATGAACCACAAGACAAAAAAGGCATAGATATGGCATTGGGTTGAGACCCTGTGGTTCTGAGTCCCAAATTCTTGAACAGGCCAAGAGACGACTTATATCCTTGAACCTTACACAAATGAAGATGTTCCTTAAAAAAATTTGAGGACATGCACCAAGATAAACCAAACCAAAGACTTGAGCTATATAGCCTTTAGCTTTAAAGTTTTAAGTCTTAACTCTAATTCCGTTCAAGATTTCTAAGAAATAGCCTGTAAGGGATTTACCTCCAGCCACTAACCCCTTGAAAGATAACTTCTTAAAATTTCCCCACATTACCTGCGTGATCTATATTACATCCTTTGATTTGATGGCTCTCCAATCTGGTAATTCTCAAGCCATAACTCCAATATTTTTCACTCTAAGTTCCTATTTTTTCTTCTTTCTTCCTTTCTTTTATCAAGGGGGAAGAATGGCATCCAAACAAGGTTAGCCATCATCGTAGAGAGAGAGAGAGGAAAAAAAAAAAATCAAAACCATACACATACTTAACATGTAAACAAGCATGCATGAAAGCTTGGAAATAACCAAAAGATGAGTATAAGGAGCTACCCATGTCATTTTCTTCACTAGCGTTGGATTGCTTAAGATCAGACTGGTAACCAGTAGGCAATTTTGACAGAACTGACTCATCAAGATAACTCTTCATATTTTCATAGCACCTGTAACCATTAAATGAACCTTACGAAAACTAACTAAAAAATTCCAGGAATTAAATGAATAAAGGGGTTGCCACACTTGCCTTTTGGCGAAGCTTTGTTCCTCTTTTGAGAGTCGGTTCCAAAGGTCTGTTTTTGAGAAATGAATCATGTTCTTCTCTATCTGCAAAAGGCTGTCGGTTCTTAAGTAAACAATAGAGGAAGATACTACAACTCACAGACTAAAGCTGGTTGGATAATTTGCAAACATAGACATGCTACAAAGTTCAAATAAAAAAAGGGAGAACCCAAAGCAACCTTTTGAAGGCGAGTCCGGAGATATGATCTCAACATATATTGAGCCCGATCCATATCCATTTGATATATAGACACTATCAGAGGATCGAAACCACTTCTTGTAAACTCCTCGATGGTTTCCTCCTGATCATTTGACCAAAATTAGAATGCTCCCAAAAGTTATGAACATGAAAAACAGATAAATAAGGCATTGAACAAGCGACAGGCCTAAAAAAAACCAGATAAATTTAAAACCCCATAATCTTTATGATGTGAGTTTGATGCATTGGTCATCAGCCCATTAACCAACAACCATAAATAGAATATTAAAATACAACATCTGTTGTAGCGAAGGTAGAAGACTGCAATTGGAGCACAGCACATTACACAAAGGGAAGGAAAAATCCCACGGCTGAATTTTCCTAAGTCATTTCATAATTCACAATAGAATTATTAGTGAGAGGTAGGTCAGGTAACAGCAAAAGGGATGAAAGACTTGAATAAAGTAAGTACAGTCTATACAAGTAAACTCCAAGATTGTTTCAAAAAAAAAAAAGTAAACTCCAAGATTTACACCAGATAAAATTATAAGCTACTCGTAGGACATCAAATATCTAAATATCAAGCCCGGTTCAAAAAATTTGTTCGTTTCAGGCCATACAGTATTCATAACCTTTGATATCTAAACAGATTTCATCTCACTAACGGTCAATCTGCAATCTCATCACTTCATGTACCCTAGACATAATCGGATCACTTTAATTATAAGATAGCATTAGAATTAGACCATATTATTAGCTACTAAACCTAAGAAAGATAGTACTCCGTACTTAATAACTCTTAGATCATACTGTGCCCTATAAAAGTTGTAGAGAAGAAACAAAATGAAGTATGAGATTGCAGATTGAATTGATAACATAATTATAAAGTGAAAATTAGGGTTTGGAATGGAGGGTGAATTGTTGTATACCATAAGTTGAATTTGCTCGCGAGATCTCAGAACCAAAGAAGACTGGAATTGAAGAATTTCGGGAGCAGATTTCTCGTTGCGCCAAGCTCTCTTTAAAAGCTCAACATCTGATGTCCCCATTAGTGACTCGAATTCTTCCATGGAAAAGCCTGATCCACTCGCCATTGTTACGATCAGGCAGTGGTGGATCAAGGATTTGATTAACAGGTTGTCCTATCAGTGACAAATTCTGGACTATTAGTAGTTTAGTAGATCAATTCTATCAAAATAAATTAACAAAATTAGCACATATTGGCAAATTTAACATCTAACACTGAATCAATCGAACCCCCAATAAAAATTAGGCATTAACAGGTAAAAAACAAAAATCTTTGACCGATGATTTCACCTTGACCTTCGTTCTAGATCCGTTTTCTATCTCCTCGTTCAGCGACTATTATTTATCCCTTTCCCTGACCCGAAACCGCCGTAGACTCACCAAAGACACACCACACCACCATTGCACTGCCACAACCTCCACCCAAATCATCACCGCCTCACTGCCCTTAACTTCAAAACTCACCCAAAAACCACCATCACCATGACATTCGCCTACCAAACCAAAAACACCACCGATCCTCACCACCGGAAACCCCACCCACCCCTCATAAGTTCAACTCCACCCCTTGAACCCTCCCCCCCAACCCCGTAAGTTCAACTCCACCCTCCTGAAAAATCTACTCGCCCCCTTAAATTCACCTCCACGGCTCCACCTTCTCGAAAAACCCAGCCAGCCACCCTTACCATTGATTAGCCACCTCCACCCTACGAAATTCCACCCTGACCCCCATAAATCCACCCTCACCTACATGAAACCTCCCCCCGACCTTAGAATAACAAGATCTAATAAGAGACATAAACTGAAATAGAGGTGGTGGTGCAGTGCTTCGATTAGATTGGTAGTGCAAGGTGATGTGGTGCCTTGGTTAGGTTGAGACGGTGCTTCACCTACCTGAAACCATTCCCCCCACCCCTTGGAATTTTCATGGTTTCATCCTGACATTAAAGAGTTACACAAACGGACAAACCAAACCCCGCAACACATTAGCAACCAAAATTGACTCAATTATCAAACTAGACTCCAAAAATAACGTTAAATTCTTCGAGTTTCTATAACCAATAGTTCAATTATGCAACTTCGAAGAACCCTAAATTGAGTATATACTGACAATTAAATACACGATTAACACTAGATTGTCAAAATTAATATTAGATGATTAAGGAAAAAGAAGCATCTAACCTTAGAGACTGCTTCAATGGAGGAGAGAAAGCTCAGAGAATTTCGAGTATGCTTCAATGGAGGAGAGAGAGAGGAAGGAGTACTGTGTCCTGGGAGGCTGGGACCGTGAAATAGACATAGAGAGGAAAAAAAAAAATAACATCAGGAATAATTTATTTATTTAAAGAAAAAAATACTGTGTCCTGGGACCCAAAATGACTATATGTGGATCCGCCCCTGCGCTCAGGAGACTGGAGAGATGAGAGAGAGAGGAGTGAAGGGTTGAAGATTAAAATACAACCTGTTGTAGCGAAGGTAGAAGACTGCAATTGGAGCACATAGCACATTACAAAAGGGGAAGGAAAAATCCCACGGCTGAATTTTCCTAAGTCATTTCCATAAGTCACAATAGAATTATTAGTGAGAAGTAGGTCAGCTAACAACAAAAGGGATGAAAGACTTGAATAAAGTAAGTACAGTCTATACAAGTAAACTTCAAGATTTACACCAGATAAAATTATAAGCTACTCATAGGACATTAAATATCTAAACATCAAGCCCGGTTCAAAAAATTTGTTTGTTTCAGGCCATACAGTATTCATAACCTTTGATATCTAAACAGATTTAATCTCACTAACAGTCAATATGCAATCTCATCACTTCCTGTATCCTAGACAAAGTCGGATCACTTTAATTATAAGATAGCATTAGAATTAGACCATATAATTAGCTACTTAACCTAAGAAAGATAGTACTCTGTACTTAATAACTCTTAGATCATATTGTGCCCTACAAAAATTGTAGAGAAGAAACAAAATGAAGTATGAGATTGCAGATTGAATTGATAACATAATTATAAAGTGAAAATTAGGGTTTGGAATGGAGGGTGAATTGTTGTATACCATAAGTTGAATTTGCTCGCGAATTCTCATAACCAAAGAAGACTGGAATTGAAGAATTTCGGGAGCAGATTTCTCATTGCGCCAAGCTCTCTTTAAAAGCTCAACATCTGATGTCGCCATTAATGACTCGAATTCTTCCATGGAAAAGCCTGATTCACTCGCCATTGTTACGCTCAGGACTCAAGAGACTGGAGAGATGAGAGAGAAATAGGAGGGAGAGAGGGTGAAGATTTGAAGATAGATTTGGCGGCAGATTCCAAATTAATTTGCTTGCGATTACTGGAGTTGAAACGCCAAACAAGCCCTAGACAGTGGTATCAAAATTAGTTTTTTTTTTTATTTTTTATTTTTTATTATTTTTATTTTTTGGAGGGGTCCGAATTTGAAATTAGTTATGCATGTGAGTGTTAATGGCCTTAATTACCAAGTTTACCTTACAATAGGGTAACTATAAAAGAATCAATAAACGGAATATTTTCTTGTTGTATGATATACGGACACTTCACCTAATATGCATATCGGATGCAGTATAGTTAGTATTGGATTATACAATGCTTACCAATTTTACCTTATAAAAGATGTTAAACCAATCAATTTATTTTCTTACATTCCAACTAATAGGCTCTTAAGAATCACAAGCAAAAATAAATATTTCCTCACATTCAAAATAGCTAACTACTAACACATTTCTTTCTGAACCGACTATTAGATTGTACAAGCAGCCCAATAGCATAGAGTCTCACATTTTTTAGGCAAAAAATCTAATAATTTAGAATAATGTATAAAAACTTATTAGTGCTTATTGAAATAGGATATTAAATCTATCATTATTGGTGCAAGATGTCTATAAGATATACTCGACGTAAATTTGAGCTTTGAACAAAGATCTAGTCAAGTTAGTTTTTGATAAACTTAACAAGAAATACTAACAAATTTTCTTGTCCTACTTGTATATATTCTTTTGCACTATTTCATAAACCAAAAATGATTTTTATAAGTTCATCATTTAGTGGAAAGGAGAGCACCTTTTAACTACGAGGGATTCGCTTACCTCCCCCCCCCCCATCTCCCAAATTATCTAGCTCGCTAATCCGAGCCAGGTTAACCCGTGAGGATTTTGGACCAGTAGGGCCCTTCATCTTACATACAAAAAAAAAAAAAAAAAAAAAAAAATTTGCAAATTCCTTGAAACTACTCATGGATTCATGGTTATGCATTTTACGTTCAACCATTTACAGTTTTTGCAGTGTGAGTGACTGAATGGAGTGGACTTCTTTATATTTGGGCTTCATTGTCTTAAAATTAAAACCCAACCCAATCCAAACCCAAGCCCAATACTCCTAGCTCGATTCCGTGCATTAAACTTTACCATACACCAGCAAATCAGTCGTCAATCCACCTATATAAACACTCAGATCAACTAATCATCTATTTTCCCAAACAAATTAACAAATTAAATTTAAATTCTCCCGCCATTAAGGTAGAGATAAGAGAGGAAAAAATGAAGGAAAATCAAACTCCTCGAAGCAAGGACATCACCCACCGTCGGCCGAAAGAATCTCCGTATTCCAAATCAATCTCCGATCAATCGAAGAAGCATCAGAAAGTAACAATTTCTAACCCTAATTTTTATTTACTCCTTCTGCTATGTTCATCATTTTGATTTTATTTTCTGAAAAAATCGATTGAATTTTTCTATTAGATTACAAAGAAGAGCTTGAATGCTGAATTTGCTTCAGTTTCCGAAGATTTTTCGGCTGAATCAGTGTCGGAACCTCTCAATTTATCGGTGATTTCTGAAAATTTGTGCGAAGACAATCTAATTGGAGAATCGGAGGTAAGATTCGTTTCTCAACTTTTCAAATTTCCGACGAAAATCATCGATTTAACAATCGGTGAAATCGCTGAAAATTTTGTTTAATTTTGTGTTTTTCGCTTCACAGAGCCTTGAGATTTCAATTGGAGCAGAAAATCAGTCGATCGTTACATCAGAGGAAGCATTTACGCCAGTTTCGAAGATCACAACTGCGTGCGATGAATCAGTTAATTCCTCATTTGATTGCAGCAATGTAGTTGGATCAAACAATTCTGTGGAGGTAGATTTGGTTGTGAATCTTCTGAAGCAAGCTAGAAATCAAGTTTCCAGCTCGAGTGATGTTTCGGATACATCAAAGAAGCTTCTGGATGCATTGGTTGAGGGTTCTGTGAGAGACTTGAGTGTTTTGCCTGACGAAGAGACGTAATCAGTGCGGTTTTGTCTAAACGAGTTGGAATTGTTACGGTTTGTTTTGTGGTTTGGCTGATCTTTGTGGCTATTATGTTCCTTTTTCGCTGTTCCGGAACTAGAAGCTCCTCTTCTTTCAATCCTCAACCTACCTGAGCCGGTAACCCTTGCTTTATATTATACCAGTCTTGTTATAGTAAGATTCTGGAATTATATGCTTCATTATTGGGGTGATTATATCAGAATATTTAGTATATACCTTAGGCATGTTTTCTGATTCTGGTGCTTGTTGATTAGTGTCATGTTGTTAGTTAGGTTAATCCTGAAACCGCAGAACCATGTGTTTTACTAATTGCATTTGGAGGATGCCTTCTGTGAACTGTTCGATGTCGTTTAAGTAGCATCTAGATTGATATTTTTTGGAAGCTGAATGGAAGTTATTTTTGTTGCAAAAATATACCTGAATGGAAAATTATGTTTCTGAAATATTGTTGTTTTTGAGCAAAGTGGCAATTAAGGCTTAAGTGGCAACCATTGTACCATATACTCTACATGAAGCAGATGTATGTGTCTTGCACATTATAAGAACTAGTGTGTTTAAAAACTACTTATTGTTTGATGGTTCTGGTGTATATGAATGCTGTACAATTTTTTTTGAAGTCAATCATCCCCAACTTGAGGGATGGTATATTTTACTACCTCCCCTTTCAAAGAATAAATGAAGTTAGATGTTTCAAGAAATTACATTCTGCCCAGCTAAATATATCTATTTCAAACAAAAGAACTAAAAAGTATTCTGTCTATGCTAAAGATTGCTATATATGTTAAATATCAGAGATGAGTTAGGTGACTAAGTTTATGTGTTATTGAGACCTTATATTTGGCACTTGGTCAGTGAACTTAGCGATCAAAAGACTCCTATATTGGACTCTGTAAATCTTACTAGATTCGTTTTAGTCCAACTTTTTCATGAACACAGTTGGTCCATGACAACCTTTGAAATAGTTAACCAGGAGTATTCTCTTGAGACATCTTTGTTTACCAGTTTCCTAAACAGTATATATAAGTGTACATGTCTGGTCCTTTAGTTTTAGAAATTAATAGCCCAGAAATTAGTGGAGGTTTACACATGAATTACTGGATAATTATGCTTTGTGTACCTTTAATGAATGTTGGAGTCTCCTAATATATTCATCAGATCATATTCTAAATTTCTAGCTAATGAAGGCCGCAGATAGAAAACGCAACACACCTGGCTCTGGTGATGAATGCTCTTACACTTTTACTGCTGCTTTTTGTGACTACAGATGCTATTGCATTGTCAATTAATCTGCGAGGTTTTGAAACCTTGAAGACCATATATGTATGTATTGGCTCTTGCACATGTAGCTTAAGTTCGGAAAATCTGAAAACAAGCAAATCATTAGTTTGACACGACTCTTTATTGGTAGTCAATATTATTCCAATTGTAATCAGAATATCAGATTAATTATAGTAGATCATAGATGGTATATAGGATGAGGATGCTTTTGCCTTTTACTATGTGATTTACATGAGTGGGTAAATGTACAAGGTGATTTTGATGTTTCTAAATATAAGGTAAATCACCGAGATTCTCGTTAGCATGTGTCTTGAGCTAATGTGGCATGGTCTTATCTGTCAAACATTGAAACAAAATCATACAGTTACCCCATTTGGGGAACATAATAAACCTGATGAAGCTATATATGTTAATGTATGCTGGAGCAATTATGTGCCGAAATACTTAGTAGTCTTTCAACTTGGTCACTAATATGCGTAGTGCTATCCCCTTAGTTACTTCCACTGCTGTGCAAAGTATGCAATAAAGCTACATATTAAAATATCATCTCAATTATGTTTCATCATTTGAAATGGATGTTTGATTTTTCCTAGTTTTAACTTATTGGTTCATTTATATTAAGCCTGCCCACCCCCCACCCCCACCCTCATATGTTGAGCAATCTAATCTTCTATTTCCCTTTTAAATCCTTGTGTAAGAGACCTAGTTAGTCACAATTCACACTAGGGGAATACTCCCTTTGTGAACATATATCAGCCTTTTCTATTGTGAATCTACTCTTGAAAAAAGTTTATAGTGAATAACAGACAATTCGAACTGTAATGGCAAACTATAAGCTGGTTATTGTGATGGTTGTTTGATTCATTCCTTTTAATAATATGATTCTAATAAAACAGAGGTTTATGAAGCATAAGATTAAGTAGTTGAATGGATGATCATCTGGTAAAATGGATATTGCCATTGGATATAAAAAATTAGTACAATGAATACATGGTAGGTTGTAGTTATATCAAACATTTTTTATTTTTTTTTTTTGGTGACGTAGTTATATCAAACGATTAAAAACTTGCCTACTGACTATTAGCCATATGATGCAGATTCTAGAGTAAACTCAACATTTGGTCCAGGTATTGGTAATAACAGTGAGTTGGGACAAGTTTGCTTCATTATTCTCTTCTGAAGGGTTTGATGAAACACCAAGGCTAAGCATTCTCTGCAAATTTACCTGGAGGACTAGTGTAACGAAATCTGTTATACAACTTTTACACAAGATTGTCGAAGTTGTCTTCTTGTCTAGAGGTAATTCTTCTTTTACACTGGCTTATGAGCAGATGCAGTTTCTTACTCTATGATAAACTATGGCTCATAGGTTGTTACTTCAATCCTCAAATTATTCCTCTTTGTTTCCATAACATGATCAAATACATAGAGTAAATATGACACAACGTGATGTCACTAGCTCTAAATATGATGCAGATTATATGCTGATTAAATTAGCAGCAATGTTAGGTACAGTAATACATACTATTATAGTGGAGCTAACATGATTAAGCTCCTTAGTCAAAAGCTATTGTTGAATTTCATTGTACAAACCTTGATGCTCAAGTTTTACTCTGTGGTAGGCTGGTAGACCTTCACCGTGTGTAATCATAATTAGCATAGATAAACAAATCTAAACAGGATTTAAAAGTCAAATTACTAAGATTATATAATCCGCTGATTTGGCTTCGTGCTATTATAGGAATATTCGAGTGTGTGAAGTTCTACATTAGCATTAACACACTATCGTGCTTCTTTCAACTATACTTTGATCACAGGTAGTAGCGTTAAGTTGCTTTCTTTCTTTAAATGCAACAGAGAAGCTGAGAAGATGTCATTTCTTCACTAAGCTACTAGTAGCAGTATGTTTTTTTTTTGAATTAGTTCAAGTTAGGATTAGTTTTATCCAGGTAAATAATGTAGGCGAGATTTGACCTTTGGACTTAGAGATACCACCTGGGTTTTTGGAGTTACCTGTAAACTCTATCTGAATTTGTTAGGCGAGGATTAATCGTGCAACCTTTTAGTTTAAGATATAAGGTTTACCATCCTTCCGCTTCCTTATTCTAGTGAAATGAATTTTACTCCCTTTTAATACTATGATCACATTATACTGAAACATGGGTGACTTTTGATGTGTTTTACAAGATGATTTGTTGTATGTAGATGTTTATCGTAAATTTGTAATCATTTTCATTTGAAACTGTATTTGTTGTTACTCCTGTGAAAGCATCTTTCTTATATCATTTCATCGGTTTCTGTTTAGCATCTAGGGCTGCGCAACCCCCACCTCAAAATTAATGGAAAAAACATTATTATGTTATTTAGCAATCATTTTTCTAATAAACTATGATACTTGGATTTGAAAACTATTTATACAAGTCTATTGTCTTTTCCTAAAGTCTACAATGAGAAAATATAATATGGCTTAGGACAATAATAGATGCCTCTGCAGTTTAATTTGCTGTGAGAAATTCTCTTCAACGTATAGATTATCCAAGATTTATAATCCAAAATTTTTGGTTTGGATCTAGTAAGAAATCATATAATTATGAATAACACTTGATTGCTTAACAGTGGCTTAATTAAGCTTTAATAACACTTGTCCCTTTTTTACCGGATTAAGGAATGATTTAGATGATTAAAAAGCAGATATAGATTGTTATAAAAAATAGTAGATGTATTAAATCTAACCATGATTTATATAGAGATTGTTAATGTCATTAACTATGATCGGGGTTGATAATCCTAACATCGTCAAATATCATTTTTTTTTTTCTCCAAAATAATTATTAATCATCCATACCACTATAACGTTGGTATTGTATGGTAACGAATTGTTTTTCTATACTACAGAGTATTATCGTGTACCTGATTATTTTTTACTCTTAAGCCTTAACTAACTTATGCAATACTGCAATAGAATACAGAGTTGAACTTAGCCTATATATGATCTCAATAACCTCAAAATTATTCTGAATATAGAAGTAAAGACTTTAAACGTATACTACAGTTACGTTAAACTGTAAAAAGCAGGGGTTACTATTCTAATGTTTTGGTTACGGTGCAAAATCATAAGGTGTAAGGCTGTTTAGCTATCAATAACTGATGCAGCTATGACTGCATGACTGCATCCCATGCCTTTTGTTGGTGATGGTTTATGGTTCGCACAAATCCTTTTCATTCATTTTCGTTGGTGATTGTGCTCCAAAGGTGTCTCATACTAGGGGGGCAATCATTTTTGCCAACCTCATAAATCATAATACCTCTCATTTCTGTTTGGTCATGTTTTTTTTATCTTAAAAAAAAAATTAAAAAAAAAAAAAATCTAACATTGTACTTGTAGAAATGTACATATTTATTCATACTAGACCTTACTACTCTTTGTAATAGGATATTGTAATCTTTTATCTATAGTTATCGAACTAATAAGCATTGAGAGAATATTAGAGTAATAAGACGATTCATTCGAGTTCAGTGCTCAACTGCTCATGTATAGTTAATGAGAGAATATTTAAAAAATATTACATATTTGACCTTACTACTCTTTACTTAGATTTAATTTTATTATAAGTTTAGTAATTTGTCATGCTTTAATCTCCTGGTGTACTGGCATCCACTGATCTTCTTATGGTACTAAATTTATGGATTAGGTTCATGATTAAGATAAAGTTTGCAATCTCCTAGAACTATTTGTAGCCTAATCATCATTCTTGCCTGTATTAATTAATTAAAAAGTTTCTAGTTGGAAGTTGTCAAATGTGTTTGTCCATTACCCCTTGGACTTATATATGGCTGCGACTTGGCTCATGCATCGAGCTCCAAATTGTCTAGTTACGGCTACTAGTGGCTATATGCCAAATTGTATTGGTGCTATACTCTACTCTATTATGCGTCATAAGTTCCGCCACCTACCATAATACACCAAGACAACCACTTTACCACCTATTTTACATGTTCACTCTATAGTAATACGAAGTTTTTTCACAATTTTGTATACTTTGATT